GCTTTGCTGTATTTTTGAAAATGGTCATAATAAAATGTTGCAGGGAAATCACAAACACACACACAAAATGGTTCGTATCCAAATAAATTTTTAAGGGTTTGCTTACAAGTTAGCTAAGGACTGTGAGAATAAGTCAAGAATGAGTCCTAGTTTTGGGTCATGAAAAAGTCTGTGAATAGTGAGGCCATTTACTGAAACTGAAACGACTAGAAAAAGAAGCAGATTCTATCTCGAGCTTGAGTTCGATGTATTCTCTTTAGACACAAAGCAAAAATGTAGTCAAAAAAGTAGTCAGGGGAAAATGTGAAGCAATGTTCTAGGCACTGGAAATACAACAGTATAAAGAAGAGTCAAGTTGTGTCCTCGTGGAGCTTATATTCCTCTGTGCAATAAGTAGGACAATTTGAGAAGTATCATCATAAATGTATATTTAAAACCCATGGGATTAGATGAAAGAGCTTGTTGGCTATAAATGGAGTAGAAAACACTAGGATTGAAGCCTAGTTTATTCCAACACTGTTTTGAGTTAGAGACAGGTATCTTGGGTGAGTAGGCTACTCTTTAAAATTACAGGTCTATGACGGTATAATACACAACTAAAACATTCAAAGAGTTTATAGGAATTTCTACTTAAAACACTTTATATAATCATTCATTCATTCTTCATTCAATAATTTTAAAACAACAAGAAGAAAATCAATATCTATGTCAATGTATTGATTTAGGTGGATAGATTTATAGCTGGAGACCTTGTAAGAAACATAAGAATATTTTTCTTTTAAAATAAATATATAAAATGGTACTCTGTAGATTTCCATTGTCTGCCTAAACTCAGATTTAGAGACTCCTGTTTGTCTAAATTGGAAAAAGATAGGATATATACAAAACAAGTTTGCAAAAGGTTATAAACAATATTGTTAAAGAAAAGTAAGAAAGGCAAAACCCCAATAGGATATATCCAAATGAAAAACATTATTAACGTATCTCCCTTAAACGTGGCTTTTCTAAATTATTATTTAAGAAACACCCTCACCTGTCTGCATCACTCTTCAACAAATGTTTCTCTAATTCTTTCACCAGGTCCAAAAAAGAAGAAGGAGGAGAAAAAGAAGAAAAGGACAGAGAAGGAGAAAGATGGGAAGAAGGGAGAGGAGAAACAAAAAAGGAGAGAAGGAGGAGGAAAACAAGAAGGAAAAGAAATAAGTAAGAGGAAAATCTTTTTTTAATATTCTTTAAAAATCAAATTGCACATGGGAAATAAATTATCCCCTATAGATTGCAGGAACTGCTGAAGCAGATATTACTGGACACACATACATGCCGCATACATATGCTCCCTTCATTATTATACATGTATTTGAATTTATGCATTGTGCTTACATATCCATATTTTCATTGTCAAAGATGCTATTTGACACAGGCAGCTCAGGGATGAGATGGCCAGACTGTTCTTTTTGTATAATCATGATTTTTTTTTCTTTAAGATATTGTTGTTTAATGTTCTAAGAAATCCTTTGGGTTTATGGCCCACATGTTGCATAGCATCAAAGGTTACTCAAACAAAGCCGATTCAAACGTGATATTACTGCATAGCTGCAAGAACAAATTTCAGGTTACGCATATGCAATTTAAGTTCTGAAGTGGTCTACATGTGGCTATGATAATGAGCCCATCACAGAAAGAAGCACTTTAGAAAAATGTATAAACCTATATAAGAGATTATATATCTGCACTATAAATACACATTATCTTTACTTCCCCAAGAATCATGTGTGCCATTTTCATTTAAAAATAGTTAAGGAGTAAAGATGAGAATACCATTCTCATTTTAAAAACACCTTTTTACAAGAATTATAAAATTATTGGATTGACATAATGTATGGGATATAGATGTAATTTAAAAGTCTTGTGCTGGTTCATATTAGTTCTTTATAAATGACTGCAAAACTCTATTTTTATTTAAAAATAAAGAAAATCTGGAAAATAAAGTCTGTATATATATATATATATATTCTTCTATATAAGGGTAGAGAAAAATCTGCATGTGGTTAAATAATCTGTATCAAATGAGAAAATCTTTATTTACAGCACAAATAGAAAAGTTTGTCTGTAGTTCTCAAGTAACTTACTATTTATTCTCTATGGATTACTTCAGGGGCAGGATATTGAAAAATCATAAATAATAGCACATATCTTCCATGAGGAGGCAAAACTCTTAACATTTTTCATACACTATAAAAATGCACATATAAATAACCCACCAAGCAAATTTCAATGCAAATCTATGTATCATTTGTCACTGAATAAAATTAATTTCTGTGTCTAGCACAAGGATAGTCAGTATATCTTCAAAATGGTACAAGCTTATCTAAATTTAAAATTCATGTAGAGAATAAGCACACACCTCTAAGGATGAGATGTAAATAGAAATCATAGAATCTTGGAAGAGTAACAAAGCTTAGAGATCCTACAAATCAACCCCCTCATTATATATGTGAACACGGGGTCCCAAAGTGTTGAAACAACCTAGAGGGCAGTATTGTCCACGTCCCAAATTTTCAACAATCCCGGTGGAGAGGCTGTCATCATTCTGAAGTATCCAAAGGCAATCCAATGCCAAATGTATGATTTGCATACTGATTCAGCAAGAGTGTTCACAGTTTCCTTTTGACATAGACACTAAATACAAAACTAGTTTCGCACACACAAAATGTTAACATTGCCTTCTCAGTCTCAACTCCTCAAGCCTGGGCATTTTTCACTGCCTCAGTATGAATTCTACTGTATAACTGTGGCCCAGACATAAACTGCCCCCTTATCCTATAATGTTAAATCAGAACATAGGTTCTAGGTGTGTCTTTGGGGCAAGAGGAGGGTGGTGTGGAAGAGAAAGAAGGAAAGAAGAGAGAGAGGAGGTGAAAGGAGGGAGAGAATGGAGGAAGGAAGGGAAGGAGAGAGGGAGGGAAGGAGGAGAGAAATGTCTTGCTACTGCTGTTCCAGCAAGCTGGTTAATTGCATTTGTTTCATATATCTCCAAACACCCTGGTACATTAATTACATTCTGTAACATTAAGCTCTTCTGATTTCCTCTGTCACTTCCACTGAGCAATTTAATTGTATTCCTCCTAGCGACAAGGGAGGGAAGGAGGAGAGAAATGTCTTGCTACTGCTGTTCCAGCAAGCTGGTTAACTGCATTTGTTTCATATATCTCCAAACACCCTGGTACATTAATTACATTCTGTAACATCAAGCTCTTCTGATTTCCTCTGTCACTTCCACTGAGCAATTTAATTGTATTCCTCCTAGCGACAAACTGATTTAAAAAAAAAAAAAAAACTTGGTGATAATTTTGTAGTCTAATATATAGTTTATACACGCATTTGTTACTGAGATGTGTCAGTTCATGATTTATGAAGACATATTATTTAAAAAGTTATACTATATTCTTCTTATCATGATACAAATCTTCTTATCATGAATCAAACACACTTGGGGCAAATATATAAACCTTTTCCTTATGGTAATGTAAAATGTATTGTAAAGGCAAAGGTATTGACGAAGAAAATGCATAAAGAATGATTACAGACATGATGATAGATATTGCCACAGTATAATTCACAATGATTAATTCCTAAACATCCACTACTTAGAAGGGAGAAAGAGAGAAGCACTGCACACACACATGCACCCTCGCCTGCTGTCGCTGGGGGGCAAAGGTACTCGTGTAGTCCATGATTGAAAACAGCCACTTGACAGTAGGTAAACTCATCTGTGTTGCCTCATGTTTATAGAAAGCCTTCCTTTTTGAGCCCGATACATTGGGTTCTGAACAGTAGCAGCTGCCAGGAACAAAGTTAGCTCCCACAGATGGGCAAAAATAGGCAGTGTCCCAAATAATGAATTCATCCACAATGCAAATACTGAAGAAAGTTTATGGAGCAACGAGCTATGATGACGGTTTAAATATTTGACCAATACACCTCAGGTTCTTTATAAGTACAGTAATAAAAAATCTAAAGTACCACAATCACCATTTCCAGGGGCAAAAAAAGAGAATACTCTAGTCCTTTATACCAATCCTTTTCATTAATATAAAAATTAAAGCCTCTAGAAGGTTCGTACTAAATATTCTTTTGACTTTCTTCTTTTGAAAACAAACAAAAAAGCATGTGAGTGATTATCCCCAGTCTTCATTCAAAGAGCTTCAAAAAGGGATCTTTCAATAGTCTCACAAGAAACTGACATCCTATGAAAATATCCCAGGAAACCAAATCCGAACAAAAGACGAGAGACTAGAGGTAGAATGCTGTGTGCTTGACAGACTGACTCAAGCTAGAGGGAGACACCTACAACACCTGTTTCAGGTCCCCATTGTGTCTGCCCACTGGGGACTGAGCTGAGTGTTTCTCACCTGCAGCCAGCCTAGAGCTGATGCTTACCCCCCCTTCCTGGAGCCTCGCCCAGTCTTACTTTCGACAGTTTTCTTCCTACGATCTAAATTTTTTATTCTGATTTCACGCTACGATAGCATTCACTGGCACACAGGTGATACACATTGATCCCTCAGATACCCAGTCTCAAATTCCTAACCTATTGAACTTTCCTTGGAGTGTCTATTACTATTATTTCCTCACTTGAATTTCTGAGCCAAAGTTCAGACACAAGGACAAACATTTAGCAGGCACAATAGTATTAGGATCATTCAAGAAATTTACTTTAATATTTATTTTTCTAACAAAACTGGGAGTCCATTATTTATTATCTAATTCCTCAATTAATTAAGTAATTTACAACAACAATAACAATTGGTGACTACAAACATATTCCACTTGCAGCAGTTGAGAAACAAAAGACTTAAAACCTCTGCCCCCAAACAGCCCGAGCCTAGCCAAAACGGACTAACAGACACAATGTCATTTTATTTATAACCCACATCTGACTCAGAAATAAATGTTTTGTGGGGAGGAGGACAAAAAGGATAAAAGTATGTTTAACTTACCATCGACCCGAACATATAAAAATCCACAGAGCAGTAGTTGTGTAAACATCAGCAGACTCATTTTGACATATTAAAAAGGATCCAGATTGTTTAAGAAACCAATCCCAGAGAGCAGAAGTACAAAAATAAGTATCAAAAAAAGAGGTAGGTCCAAAGTTTAGACTTTCCTAGATACTAATTAAAGTCAAGAAGAGCAAATCGCAAGATCAGAAGGGGTTGGTGGAGAGGTCTTGAATGGGGCACATTTAGATCCATCCAAATTAACAGAGGGCACTTCAAAGGCTGCTGTATTTCCACACTCTGGCTTCCTAAATTCCCACAAATTCAGCCCAGCCGGAGGGATTATTCAAGTGTATCTAACCCTCTCTCCTTAGGCTGCATAGCAATCCAAAGCCAAGTTCTTTCTTCAGAAGTCAAGAAGATGAAGGGGACGGAAAAAGACCTAATTCCTAGAAAGTGTTCCACAAACTTGCCAGCGCGCTGCCGAAAAACCATTGGCCTGCCTACTGGTTTTCTCTCCCCCGGTCTCCCTCTCCGTAGCAGCTCCACGTCCGGAGTTTTTGTTTTTGTTTTTGTTTTTTTTCACTTCACTTCCATAATAAGGATGTGTCAAAGCAACACTTTGCAGCCGTGCAGACTTGGCGGGCCTCTCCAGTGCAGCCGCGTTGCCTCCCTCCACCTCTCTTGTTTCCCAAAGAGAGGAAAAGGGAAATCAGGACGACTCGGGTGGAGAATCCCAACTCCTACGTGGTGGGGCTGCAGGGAGGGAGGGAAGAACGGAGAGAGGGAGGGGCAGGGCTGAGGCTGCGGCCACCCCCGCGGTGCCGGGGAGCGGGACAGAACGGCAGCGCGCAGTGCAGCCGCCAGGCGCGGTCCAGCCGCCGCC